TTAATACCGATTTTTAAACAATTATTTTCTCGCTCTTTGGGGCACATAAAAAACGTATTTAATTTATTGCCCGTTCGACCCCTTCTTCAATTGAGTAATGGATTTTCCAGCGGGCTGGCACTTTCTCGTATTTCACTGCCATGTCTGCGAAGCAACAGCTTCAATTTCCCCGTTCTGACCATAAAGTGCCATCAAGTCGCTGCACATTTCAATTTGTTTATGGCCATCGCAGCGAGGCAATCGCATTCTGCTTTATGATTTTTATGGGGCGTGTTTGCAGAGCCTTTTAAGTCGCACAAATATTTTAATTTTCTTTATGATCGCTGTAAAATTTAAGGCTAAACAACTTAAGCTATTTTTCAAATATGCAGCACATTTGGCCAAAAAAGTTCAATAATGCACGGCATCTGTGCTTCTGCTTTAGCAAGTCTTATAATGCACTTTATTGCGTATACGACATGTTGCCCCTCTGCAAGAGGAACACCACAGTGGGCAGCTCTTCCGTCTATTTTTTATTCCGATTTGTGTGCTCCACATGAAATGTCACATTACGGTCCAATTCATGCACAAATACAGGAAGTGGTCGAGCACATAGAAAGCCCGGAGAATACTGAGCAGGAAACCCAGCCAGAAAACCCCTCACGCACAGTTCTTAACCCAAATTCTGTTGACCATCCCCACATACCATTTTCTTGGATCGTCTGGGTTTACCTTTCCTCAATGCATTCACAATGATTTCTGGTTTTTCTTGTTCATTGTTTTGGCTCCGTTTGTGGTTTTGGTGTGTGGCCTCTGCAATACATTTTCTTGGGCCCCGTGCAATGTGTGAAGTCGTTAAAGTGAAAATCGATTTTCATTTTATTTCACCATGTACGTGGTTAGGGGGGCAAAATGGGGCTAAAAAAGGTGTCGGGAAGGGGGGCGGCATCGGTCATTTTTGTGGGCATGAAAAATGCTCCACTCACTGCCGCAATCTACGAGCCATGTTTTATGAATGAATTTTTTCGCATTGAACGCACAATTTTGCCCTCAGTCTCTTGGTTTTTTCCCTTTTGCTTTGTTTAATGGACGGGCTTTGGTTGTCCGGTTTTTCTCGTTTTCCATTTGGGAATTTGGAAATGAAAATAAAAAGGAGGCGTACCAATCTGACATTCTTCATGTCGATTGTTGGAATATTTGAATCGAAAAAGATAGGCAAAATAAACCATTAATCAAATTTTAAGTGCTGCTCAAATATTGATCAGGTTAAGGTCTGCAAAATATACAATATTGATAAATGCTGCTTTTTCGCCCCTGTTTTATAGAAGTTTAAATGGCTGTTAAATACTTTTTTTAAATTTATTAAATACCATTTCTATTTATTGTACTTGTACTTTCAGAAATATTTGCGCTCTTTTTATATTTAGCTCCACTTTAGTTGCTTCCCATTATTCTTTATTCAAACTTTTTGCCTGTCATGCTCCTCTTCATCTGTTTCTTGTTATGTATTTTCTTTTTTTTGTTATTACTTGCTGCTGGCAGCGAACTGTAAACATTTGTGCAACAAGGTACGAACATTTGTTTTGGCTTCGAGTCACAATAAACATGGCCATTTCCAGCACTTGCCCCGCCCCTCGAGTCCTTGGGGCAGCTCGTCCTTTCTGATTCTGATTCCCCCACCAGTCGATGCAGAAATTGAAATTTGAATTTTATCTGCACACATTTTGTGCTTCTTATTTGCCGGTTAGCTTTCCCATGCAAGATATATATTGTGAGAAATGGCGAAAGGAAGTGGAGGGCAGGGCGAATGTGCATTCAAAATCTGGCTTCGTTTCTAAAGGTGCATGAGTTGAAAATATTGCACATTTCGTTCGCATTTTATGCTCGTACATTCAGGTACTTTTCTGCAGCTTCCTCTGAAATCTCTGAATGAATTCATTATTGAACGAGTGAGTGCTCAGTATAACAAAGATCTGGTCTCGGTATAGGTCGTAATTAACAGCAAAAGGAACACGGAACCAAGGAAGGCTAGACTTTTTGATTTGTTTTGTAGAAATGAATTTGGAATCAAAAATCGATTTTCCCGGAGAGCTTTTCAAGGACTTCCAGATAACCCGTGTTTTAAACTGATTACCTAGTTTGACTTGATGACTTTGAGTCCCAATAGAAAATGCACACTATGCATCAGTTTCTCATTTCCCCAATCGCAAATTAGTTTACTTTCGCCAAAATTAAATCCGTTTAATATATTGGTATATTCATTTCAAATTCTTCAATTACCCGGGACTGAGAACAGTATTTAGCTTGTTGGGATTTCAGCCACGTCGCCCCGCAATTTGTATGCGAAACTAATCCCAGCCAGAGCAATCCATTATCATCGGAATGGAGACTGGGGCAGGAGTTGGATCCACTGTTTTTGGGGTCGGGTTGGCCGGCTTCCTTCGAATCCATCGTCGCAAATCGCTGCCTGCGACCTGCGACAGTGAGCAATGAAATGCACTTTGGGTCCATCTCCTGCCACCGATTCCCAACCCACTCCGATGGCACGGATTTGGGGCTGCTTTCGAATGCAGCGGGGAAACTAATCACGGGATCCATTCACTCAGCCAGCCCCCAGTCGAAAACCCGAGCAATTCATGTCGCTCGCAATCTAGCAATTTCAATTCGCATATCTACACCCCAAAAAATAGTCTTAAAAATAAGAAAAATAATTTTTGTGAGAAAAATACTATTTGAATTGGTAGTTCATGAGCTGGACTCAATTTGTTACAATCTGTTAGACATCGTTTAAAAGTTACGAGTACTTTATATTTTTTAAGCTGCCATTCACAAGTTTTTATCACAGTGTACTCTTGATGCGAACTGGTTGGCCTGCGCTTGAATGTCTTGTGGTGCGCATTGTTGCTCATCCAATTGCTTAGTTTCCATTTATTTTTTTCGCAGCGAGGAATTCTTGACAATGGGAAGCTGAGGAAATGGGAAAGTGTAGCTCATTTTCACGTGGAATCTTGATGCACACTGTTACACCCACAAACAGGTTTAGGAAACGAACGGGTATTAGTGCGTTTAATTGATTGCATTTCGCACAATCTCTCGCTTGCTCTGATTGAGTTTCCCTTGCAATTGAATTTTCCGAAGAAGATACTCGTCCTCATCAGTTGCGTAAATAAGAAAGTATTGTGTTTGATGGTTCACATAAATCAAAACTATAAGAGTGTACCAGATATCCTTTTCCCTTGGCTATGGCCCCTCGAATGCGCAGAAAATCATTTTAAATACTCTGAAAACAATCGAATGATTTTTCCCACAAGATTAACACTGCGTAATGGGATTATGAGCATCATTGCATCAGAGTACTTAATTGATATATCCGCTCCATTGATGTTTAAAGCCAATTGAGCCTTTTTGCCGCAAAACTATTTAATCACATCTGTTGTGTGGGCAAATAAAAATCTTAATCGTATTCGATTACATTGCTAATCCCAGGACGACAAAGCAAACAAAAATATCTCACCCGCCACGCCTGGGAAAAGTTCATCAAACTTTCGGGCTGACATTATAAAATCAATAATGCCATGAATATTTTAGCCTCATGTCGCTGAATAACAACTGAATTGAACAGCGAACCCAAGTCCCAAAGGACCATTGATTAGCCACCTCTGCGAAATGAGAAACAATTCGGTTTGAACTCTATTTATAAACACGAATACATATCGGCTCGTGTTCTCCGCTGGGTAATTGAGATAAAAAATGCATGCGAATCGCTGAGTCATGTGATTGAAAATTGGTTGAATATTTAACGGAATAAATCAGGCGCTGCCAGAAATTAAAGCATGTGACTTTGATTAAAGGTTGTCGCTGCCGCTGCCGCTGTCGGTGCCGGAAAATCAGGAAAGAGAAACAAGCCAAACGAATCCCCAATCGAAGAATGATCCTGCGACTGAGCATCCTGGGCGACTTGATTGAATGTATCTCCCTGGCTACGTGGAAATGTGTGCAAATTGCCACCGAACGCGAAAAAGTAGAGCGAACAGGTGAACAGGTGCAAATTTATGCACACACACGCAGCCGTTCGCTCAAAACCCGCTGATGAAGCAGTCCTAAAAAAAAGGACCTGCTGCCAGGAAAATTACGATAAAATATCAAGTGAGTGAGTGTGAAAACAGAACGAAAAATGGAGTAAAGGCACAAACTGCATGGCTGCAATTTGAATGCATTTCAAAAAATATACCCTAACCAGGTGAAATTCGTGCACATTTTGTAGATTTGAGATTTTTGCCTAAAAGCAGGTCCCATTTTTAAATTTGTTTTGCAGAAAATATTGTATGTACCCTAGTACTTCTCTCAATATTTACTTTAACTTTCTGCACCTGAGCTGCCAATTATAGAGTATTCTCCCCTTCGTTCTGACCACATTTGAATGCAATCCTTTATTATTTTTTCATTGTTGATTTGCTGCATTTGCATGAATGCGGAATGCGAAATTTCAATGGTGAATAGGCCCAGGAAGACCTTCTTCCATTCCGCAGCATCCCCTTCTCCTTTTTATTGTTTTCGCGCTGCCATGAAGCCAAGCGGGAAAGCCCCTACCCCCATTTCCCTGCACTTTTCACTTGGTGCCAGCAATGATTGCATAAAGGCAAGGAGCCAGGGAGCCAAGGAGCAAAAGGACAAAGGCATGCCCACCGCTTTGTTACTGGATTGCGATGGTGTGAGTTCGGGCACGCATGTGTGTGTGTTAGGAGAGCAAGGTTAAGCTGTTGGTGATTGCAGTTTGCGAGGAGGATTGCAGCCTCTTGGCCAAATGTAGACGCGTTTGCTAATGTCTTTATGCCAAGGGTGATCTTGAAAATCAAGGAGCAAAAGATATACTAATAGCAGTCCTATACCATTTGACAGAATTTCAATACTTTCCAAGCTTCTTGATGAGTTGATCAATTGTTTAAGTGCAGAAACCATTTAAATCAAAGATGCATGACCATTAAATGAATATGCACATGACTATTATTGTTTAATTTCAGCAGCTCTCGTAATTAGCCTGCTGAAACCAGCTCGAAGTAGGTCGGATGTCAAAGGGATTTGAGTGAGACTGCAATCACCGCCGACATTTTGGAGCTGCAAGCGACTTTATCCCCAAAGTCATAGAAGTTGGTAAGTGGAACGAAAGGACGATGTATACTCGTATAGAATACACTAATGCATCCCGCAACCACTTCAAAAGGCCATAAGCATAAGCGCTGAAGCCAAACGAACCAGCCCGAAAAATAAATAGGCCAAAAAGGCCGCGAAAATACGCGCAGTGCAAAGGAAGCTCATAAAATTAATTAGAGCACTGACTGTCCCGCTCTTACATTCCATTGCGGTCCCTTTCATTTGCATTCGGCGATTCTTTTGGGGTGGGGTTGGGTGGTTTTGGCCAAGGTGAAAGCGCTCGAAAACTCAATGAGCGGTTAAATAATGCCCCGAGGCGTCTGTCCATTTCCCGCTTTTCCCACCCGCCCATTTTCCGCCCACCTTTTCAGAACTCTTTGCATCCGTTACTTTCGCTTTGTTTTGCGTTAGACTTCTATTCATGGACTGCATTCATTTCGAAATTTCGCTGAATTTTTCAGCATTTTAACATATTTTTTTTGGGTCGCATTTTCCCCTCGGTTTATAGCTTCATTTCCGACATTTCCCGTGCTTTTGCCAAAAAAAAATCTATTTATTATATATGACTGGGTATATATAATATATATTTTTTGCGGCTGCCTTTGAAAAAAAAAATAGGGTCGCTTTCCTTTTTTATGCGCTGAATTTGTTATGCAATTTTTGCTTTATTTACATTCGGTCTTGTCTTTTTTGTTTCGAGGGCCTGCGAGCAATTTGCAATGGAATCGCTTAGTTTCCTCGGAAAAATCGCTGCAAATATGGGGGAGCAGAGCATAATTTTATTTGTTTTTGTGTTGATTTCATTTGCAGTGCTTATGCTTTGTGGGCCTTTGTTTGCCTGCGTTTGTTGCTCCGCTCTATTTATGCTAAATTAATGCAATTGTTTCGCTTGCAGACGATAAAAGTTGTTCTGCGATGGGGGAGCGAAATGGTTAAACGGGGCGTATGAGTGATGCAACTGGAGCTAAAGCATTTATTCCCGATTTGTGCTGAGTTTAAACGAAATAAATGGGCATTATCATAATCTGCGATGAGCTTGGTCCTGATTGCTTATTTAAATATTTCAAGCTTTTATTATATTATTTCATAGATATCTGATTGTCGTGTTAGGCAAATTAGGTATGCTTTCAATATTTTTCCTTTCCTTTTAATTATTTATTTTTATTTATATATTTATATGTATATGATAATAAAGTATGTAACAGGCAGAAGGAAGCGTTTCCGATGGTGTTGTAGAAATTCAAGATATTTAAGAAATGGCCCAAGGCTGAAGTTCTATACCTCATAACTGAACTAATCTTAATCGGATTTTGAAGTAGCATACCTCTAAATGTTTCTGGCGCAATTCTCTAAAAATCTGCATTTAAATTTAGAAATTTATTTTTTTTCAATTTTCTTGTCATTTTTTTTATGTGATGATGTTGTAGAAATTCAAAAACCTATAAAATGTCCCAAAGCTGAACATCTATACCTCATAACTCAGCTAATCTTAATCGGATTTTGAAGTGGCATACCTCTAAATGTTTCTGGAGCAATTCTCTAAAAATCTGCATTCAAATTTAGAAATTTATTTTTTTTCAATTTTTTTGTCATTTTTTTGATGTGATGATGTTGTAGAAATTCAAAAACCTATAAAATGTCCCAAAGCTGAACTTCTATACCTCATAACTCAACTAATCTTAATCGGATTTTGAAGTGGCATACCTCTAAATGTTTCTGGAGCAATTCTCTAAAAATCTGCATTTAAATTTAGAAATTTATTTTTTTTCAATTTTCTTGTCATTTTTTTTATGTGATGATGTTGTAGAAATTCAAAAACCTATAAAATGTCCCAAAGCTGAACATCTATACCTCATAACTCAGCTAATCTTAATCGGATTTTGAAGTGGCATACCTCTAAATGTTTCTGGAGCAATTCTCTAAAAATCTGCATTCAAATTTAGAAATTTATTTTTTTTCAATTTTTTTGTCATTTTTTTGATGTGATGATGTTGTAGAAATTCAAAAACCTATAAAATGTCCCAAAGCTGAACTTCTATACCTCATAACTCAACTAATCTTAATCGGATTTTGAAGTGGCATACCTCTAAATGTTTCTGGAGCAATTCTCTAAAAATCTGCATTCAAATTTAGAATTTTTTTTTTTTTTCATTTTTTTATAATTTTTTCTGATGTGATGATGTTGTGGAAACTCAAAAATGACTCAAGGCTGAAGTTCTATACTCCATAACTCAACTTATCTCAATCGGATTTTGAAGTGGCATACCTCAAAATGTTTCTGGAGCAATTCTCTAAAAATCTGCATTCAAATTTAGAATTTTATTTTTTTTTCATTTTTTTTATAATTTTTCTGATGTGATGATGTTGTGGAGACTCAAAAATGACTCAAGGCTGAAGTTCTATACTCCATAACTCAACTTATCTCAATCGGATTTTGAAGTGGCATACCTCAAAATGTTTCTGGGGCAATTCTCTAAAAATCTGCATTCAAATTTAGAATTTTATTTTTTTTCAATTTTTTTGTCATTTTTTTGATGTGATGATGTAGAAATTCAAAAACCTATAAAATGTCCCAAAGCTGAACTTCTATACCTCATAACTGAACTAATCTTAATCGGATTTTGAAGTAGCATACCTCTAAATGTTTCTGGCGCAATTCTCTAAAAATCTGCATTCAAATTTAGAAATTTATTTTTTTTCAATTTTTTTGTCATTTTTTTGATGTGATGATGTTGTAGAAATTCAAAAACCTATAAAATGTCCCAAAGCTGAACTTCTATACCTCATAACTCAACTAATCTTAATCAGATTTTGAAGTGGCATACCTCTAAATGTTTCTGGAGCAATTCTCTAAAAATCTGCATTCAAATTTAGAATTTTTTTTTTTTCAATTTTTTTGTCATTTTTTTGATGTGATGATGTAGAAATTCAAAAACCTATAAAATGTCCCAAAGCTGAACTTCTATACCTCATAACTGATCTAATCGGATTTTGAAGTAGCATACCTCTAAATGTTTCTGGCGCAATTCTCTAAAAATCTGCATTCAAATTTAGAAATTTATTTTTTTTCAATTTTTTTGTCATTTTTTTGATGTGATGATGTTGTAGAAATTCAAAAACTTATAAAATGTCCCAAAGCTGAACTTCTATACTCCATAACTCAACTAATCTTAATCGGATTTTGAAGTGGCATACCTCCAAATGTTTCTGGCGCAATTCTCTAAAAATCTGCATTTAAATTTAGAAATTTATTGTTTTTCAATTTTCTTGTCATTTTTTTTATGTGATGATGTTGTAGAAATTCAAAAACCTATAAAATGTCCCAAAGCTGAACTTCTATACCTCATAACTCAGCTAATCTTAATCTGATTTTGAAGTGGCATACCTCTAAATGTTTCTGGAGCAATTCTCTAAAAATCTGCATTCAAATTTAGAATTTTTTTTTTTTTTCATTTTTTTATAATTTTTCTGATGTGATGATGTTGTGGAAACTCAAAAATGACTCAAGGCTGAAGTTCTATACTCCATAACTCAACTTATCTCAATCGGATTTTGAAGTGGCATACCTCAAAATGTTTCTGGAGCAATTCTCTAAAAATCTACATTCAAATTTAGAATTTTATTTTTTTTCATTTTTTTTATAATTTTTCTGATGTGATGATGTTGTGGAGACTCAAAAATGACTCAAGGCTGAAGTTCTATACTCCATAACTCAACTTATCTCAATCGGATTTTGAAGTGGCATACCTTAAAATGTTTCTGGAGCAATTCTCTAAAAATCTGCATTCAAATTTAGAATTTTATTTTTGTTTCATTTTTTTTATAATTTTTCTGATGTGATGATGTTGTGGAAACTCAAAAATGACTCAAGGCTGAAGTTCTATACTCCATAACTCAACTTATCTCAATCGGATTTTGAAGTGGCATACCTCAAAATGTTTCTGGAGCAATTCTCTAAAAATCTACATTTAAATTTAGAAATTTATTTTTTTTCAATTTTTTTGTCATTTTTTTGATGTGATGATGTTGTAGAAATTCAAAAACCTATAAAATGTCCCAAAGCTGAACTTCTATACTCCATAACTCAACTAATCTTAATCGGATTTTAAAGTGGCATACCTCCAAATGTTTCTGGCGCAATTCTCTAAAAATCTGCATTTAAATTTAGAAATTTATTTTTTTTCAATTTTTTTGTCATTTTTTTGATGTGATGATGTAGAAATTCAAAAACCTATAAAATGTCCCAAAGCTGAACTTCTATACCTCATAACTCAGCTAATCTTAATCTGATTTTGAAGTGGCATACCTCTAAATGTTTCTGGAGCAATTCTCTAAAAATCTGCATTCAAATTTATAATTTTATTTTTTTTTCATTTTTTTTATAATTTTTCTGATGTGATGATGTTGTGGAGACTCAAAAATGACTCAAGGCTGAAGTTCTATACTCCATAACTCAACTTATCTCAATCGGATTTTGAAGTGGCATACCTCAAAATGTTTCTGGAGCAATTCTCTAAAAATCTGCATTCAAATTTAGAATTTTATTTTTTTTTTCATTTTTTTTATAATTTTTCTGATGTGATGATGTTGTGGAGACTCAAAAATGACTCAAGGCTGAAGTTCTATACTCCATAACTCAACTTATCTCAATCGGATTTTGAAGTGGCATACCTCAAAATGTTTCTGGAGCAATTCTCTAAAAATCTGCATTCAAATTTAGAATTTTATTTTTGTTTCATTTTTTTATAATTTTTCTGATGTGATGATGTTGTGGAAACTCAAAAATGACTCAAGGCTGAAGTTCTATACTCCATAACTCAACTTATCTCAATCGGATTTTGAAGTGGCATACCTCAAAATGTTTCTGGAGCAATTCTCTAAAAATCTACATTTAAATTTAGAAATTTATTTTTTTTCAATTTTTTTGTCATATTTTTGATGTGATGATGTTGTAGAAATTCAAAAACTTATAAAATGTCCCAAAGCTGAACTTCTATACT